ATTTTCAAAATGGCGTGGAGTGTTAATCAAGAGAACAAATATTCTACGAAAAGAAAGATTATTTTTGCAAAATATTTGCGCTCGTAAAATGTTCACTTTTAACACAGTGCTAAAATTATATTTCGGATTTGCGCAAAACTCTTGTTACGGAATTGCGCAAAACTTGAGTTTCGCAAAAGCGGAATAGGGCAATTTTGCGCGAAATGACTTTTGCGAATGATTGCGCAAATTGTTGTTTTTTCGCGCAAAATTGATGCGCAAAGAAAGAAAAATATTGCGTTTTGTTCCGCAAAAATTGCGCAAAAGTTTTGCGAATGGAAACCCTAAATATGAGGCATTCATTTATTAACGTAAGAATTGCCGTATCTTATTTAACAGGCCAAAGACGATTTTTAAGCCGTCTCGTGGGACACCCGTCTCTCATCTTCATGTTTCGTGGGACACCCTGTAGGTTTTGAACTTTTGCTTGAAAAATCCTAAGAAAGATGGGGGGGTGTTATTTTCTCCCATCAATTTTAGAATTTTAATTTGAATGACAGGTTTTTGGAAACAAGTTGACTCCATTGCATCCACAGGAAGTATTTAAGTATTTAAGTAATCTTAATAATTGAGAAATGGACAACGTTCATGTTTTCAAGTTTCTCAAGCTTTTTATTCATCATAATTGAGTTCTCAGTTTGCCCGTCACGACTCTTCACTTCGGTACTAAAGTCCGGTTTAGTTAATCCCGGTTTAAGTTTGAATACTTTAGTTGAGATCAGTTTTTACATAACCAAATCTGGTTTCTGGTCTCTGGTTTCTGGTTTCTGGTCTCTGGTCCCTGGTTTCTGGTCTCTGGACTCTAGTCTCTGGTCTCTGGTCTCTGGTCTCTGGCCTCTGATTTCTTGTCTCTGAAATCAGATTTCTGGTCTCTAATCACTCGTCTCTGGTCTCTGATCTCCATTCTTCGGTCTCCAGTCTTCGGTCTCTAGTCTCTGGTATCTAGTCTCTGCGCACTGGACCTCTCTGGTCTCTTGTCTTTGGTCTCTGGACTCTGATCTCTGGTATTTGGTCTAAGGTCTCTGACATCTGGTTTCTGGCCTCTAATCCCCGGTATCTGGTCCCTGGTCTCTGGTCTCTGATCTCTAGACTCTGATCTGAATGTTTAGTTCCTATTTGTATATTTACAACAACAATTACCGAGATTTGAAAATAACAATTATCTAAAGAGTTGAAATCATCTTGATGACTGGAAGTTGTTAAAATAATTTGATAATTTGAATAATTGTAAACATAAATCAAGATGGAGCTACTATAATGTTAAACACCAGATTTGTTAAAAATATTCGGAATTGTTTATTTCAAATCTTTAAGAGCTTTCCACAATTTTTCCACTTTCAATTATGTTTATTTTAAATTCTCTTTCTTTATAAATCTGATATTTTTACATTGGTGTTAGCATTCAGGGGAAAGATAAGAGAAAAAAAGAAAGGAGATGGGGGGAGAATGGATATGAGGATGAAGGAAATAAAGGGGGAGGGGAAGACGGAGAATAAGGAAAATAAGGGGTAGAAAATAAGGACATAGGGCTTTGGCCGGGTCGCTGAAGCAAAAGAGGATAGTGTTAGCATGTTCTAGCCGCAGCGCCCGACCCCCTATCCCATCCTAACCTCAGCACTCAGCCATCATTTCAGCCTAAGTCGCCTCAGAAGGCCTAACCTAACCTTTAGAAAGTTATCGTTGGGAAATTCCGTATTTGGGAAGTTGCCACTTGGGAGATTCAATCTTGGGAAGTCACCCTTGGGAAAATACTTTACTTCATGAGTCTAGGGTTTATATGAGGGTATAAAGAAAGAGTAGGAGGGTTAGGTTAAAATTTATGACTTAAAAATATCCTTTACACATATTATTGACAAATTAACAATAAACATTTTTTTTATAGTAGGGTTGAAAATGATATTTATTCTCCAGTCCTAGTTGTTGGAGTGATCTGGTTCGACCTTTGCATGTCATTTCTCGTGTAGATGTTTCGTCAATGTTTCGTCAATCTGTGCATATATATCAAACCAAGCTCTTAGCTCAACCTCATCATGCAAATCCGAGAATCCGTTGGGACATCGCACAGTGGGCTTTTAAGGACATTACAAAGTGGGCTCTTCATCAGGACATTGCACAGTGGGCTCTTCATCGGGACATTGCACAGTGGGCCTCTCATCGGGTCATTGCACAGTGGGCTCTTCATCGGGACATTGCACAGTGGGCTCTTCATCGGGACATTGCACAATGGGCTCTTCATCGGGACATTGCACAGTGGGCTCTTCATCAGGACATTGCACAGTAGGCTCTTCATTAGGATATTGCACTGTGGGCTTCTAAGGACATTACACAGTGGGCTCTTCATCAGGACATTGCACAATGGGCTCTTCATCAGGACATTGCACATTGGGCTCTTAATCGGGACATTGCACAGTAGGCTCTTCATAGAAACATTGCACAGTTGCTCTTCATTGTGACATTGCACAGTAGGCTCTTCATCAGGACATTGCACAGTTGCTCTTCATCAGGACATTGCACAGTGGGCTCTTCATCAGGACATTGCACAGTTGCTCTTCATTGGGACATTGCGCAGTGGGCTCTCCATCAAGACATTGCACAGAGGGCTCTTCTTTGGGACATTGCACAGTGGGATCAAAGATTTATCCTAATTTTAAATATTTAATTTGTCTTGTGCAAAAATCTTGCATCTCCCATATTACTCCATGTAGTGTGCATTGCAGGGTTAACATTTGAAAAAAAATCAAGATTACTTTTCGTTAATTCTTTGAAAATCAGACTCGATACAATGAGATAACCATTCGACACTTCTAGAAACTAGAGCATTGTAACTAGTATAATGTTACGTTGGCTAGGGGGTGTTTTATCGTAATTTCAAAGGAAACCGTTGTGAATTATTAACTTCTGTCTTTAAATCGAATATTTTGACTTTCCTTTAATCTATATAATATAACAAGACATTCGTATATATATATGTTGCCTTTAGCCGGCCAAACGGCTGGACCGATTGGGTTGAAATTTTTTGTGGACACTCATGGGTTGCCAGGGGGTGTCATAGGCTAAACAAATTCGAAAGTTTTTTATCAACATTTTTTTACATATTCAAAAATATTTCCACGGACAACTCCGGGCCCTTCAGCTAGTATTTATTAAATCACGAATCTTTAAATCGAAATCCAATATATTGTTGATTACGATGAAAACAATTAAAAAATCATAATTTTTCACAATAGCTTGACAAATTGAAATTTGAAAGGATTGAAAAGTAAAATTTATTAATATGAATCTGTCCAATCATCTGCGCTTAAAAACAAAAGAAAGAAAAGTATCATTTTAGTTTCTACAATGATAACATGAAATTTGTATTCAAATCATCATTTCCAATCGTACTTTAAGTCAAATAAAAGACAAGTAAGAAAATCTGATCTAAAAACATGTCTGTCTACTCCTACTCCTTCTCTTCCCTCCTAAGTTTAATTCTACAAAAGGGTGTTCAGAGATTTTTATCTTTTTTAAGAAAAAAATGTAAAATTATTTTAATGTTTTTGAAATATATTCTTGAAATACTATTGAATAAGTCTCCCGTACAACAGTGGAATCAAGTTCCTTTTCCACAGTTTTATGGCTTTCACTTCTAATACCATTTTATCCTAAAGAAAGCAATTACGTAGATGAACATTGAACATATATATGTATAATGCACAGACTGAATTTTTAACACAGATTTGACAGGAATGTGTTCAATGTTTTGGAGTATTATCAAAAGCAGATTTTTGCAGATTACAAATAAGAAAATTTAGGAGAAAAGAAATTTAACAATTTTTCGTCGAAAAATACAAAAGTAAAGAAATAAAGAAATTAATTCATAATTTAAATTTTAATCAATTTTTGTGTAAACCTTTAAAAAATGCTTTCAAAATTTTGACAAAGGAAATGATTTTTTGACACAAATTCTGATTTTCTAACCCTTTGATTTTCGCAACCCAATGTCGTAGACCTTAAATATTTTAATCTACGAATTCTGTTAGATCAAGATATCAAAGTATATAATATCAAAGGCTTACATCATTAGGTTGCAAAGATATAGGGATGATAAAATTTGAGTTTGTGGCAAAGACTCAATTCCTTTAGGGCTTACTTTTTTGAACCACCTGTCTGTGTGAAAGGCCTGTTTTGTGCCTAAAACCCCGCCTACACACTTCACTAGCTGTTCATGATGTAACCACTCAGCCCTCCAGGCATTCAAGCCACTTCTAATATAGAAAACCTAGGTATATTTAAATTATTACTGACAGATCTTATGAAAATCAGTGCAAAAGTGTAATATTAATGGAGCAAGGTTAGAGTAAATATGAATAAAATAACATTATTTAGCTTAATCATTGATTTAAACATTTTTGCATTTGTATACAATTTTTACACATTTTTTACAAATTCTTACATCATTTTACAGAAAGCTTGTAAATTTTTGAACGCTCTATTAAATCATAAACCCAGTATATACGTGTTCTACAATATACATGAGTACTATTATATACAATAACATTAACATAATAAACCTATTGACTATTGAAATGTATTGAGAGAAACTTGAACGATGAATGGAACAGTAGCGCAAACGAAAATATTATCATAAAAGAAAAATTAACTTTCTCTCTTCTGTTTACAGTTATGCAACGTTAAATGTATCATGCACCAAAGTACTCATCATAGAATCACTTTTTACCCTGCAACCTTTATATGTTAAATATGATCTTCTCCGTATATTATACAATATATTTTATTTAACATTTTATACTCCAAAACAATGATTTAAAGCGTTTAAAATGTTTTATGGGGCTAATAAAAACAATTTTTATCAAATTCGTGGTCATCCTACACAATACTTTTAATATTGATTCTGTTTATCTATCTATCCATCTATCTATGTATCTATATCTATATTTATATCTATCTATCTATTTCAGGCATGTAAACTGTTGATAAAATGAAGAAAAGAAAATTACACCAAGATGAGGTGAAAACAGACAGACAAACATACAAACAGACACATGTATAGAGACAAACTTACAGATTTATAGACACACTTGGCACATTTATAAACAAACAAACTAACAAACAAACAGACACCAAAATAGACAAACAGACAAATGTATAAACACACACAAACAGATTTATAGGTACCCAGACGCATTTATAGACAAATAGACAAATATATAGACAAACAGGCACATCTTGGACTGTGACACCGTCACAACCATAGATTAACAGACAATCAGACAAAGAGCAATTAACAGATTGACAGATTTCCAATTGCCCAATATTTACAAACCGATATAAAACTATACAAATATACACACCTTTAAACAAACAAACACGTAATTGCAATCCTTTGCTGAAATAAATAATTTAAATATTTTTATTAAGCTAAATTCAGTTTTTTTTCTAAATCTGGTCACACGCAATTTATTTATTTGGCTTTTCTGCCATTAAGATTTAAATAAATGTTCGCATTAAAACCTACGCAGAACTGCGTAGCACGCCTACGCAATAATCCATAAAATAAGATGACTATACCGTATAATAATTTAATTTTATCTTTATTTTTATCATTATTACCTAGCCCCCCCCCCTGGTTGGCATCAAATAAATCTGTCAAAATAAGGTTCTTTTTTCTGTTAAAACTTGAAAACTATTGTTTGTGAAACATGGCAGGATTGGATGACCAAAATTGGTGGAATTTCAGCAGTTTCTAGGCTTAAAAGGGCTGGCAGATAACTTGTGTGGGGGTTTACTTGCAAATATTTTTATACGTTTTAGCACGTTTCATGGGGGGTCTGATTTATATGTACTACAATCCGTACATATTGCGGTATTTATATATAAGATATTATAAAGAAAATAAGTCAAGAAAGGACAAAACTAAAAAAATTAAACTGGGTTTAGGCCGAACTTTTGCAACAAGCGACCCATTTTTAATATGTGCGATTCTATACTTTATACTGCTTAAAATAGAGTACTGCAAAAATGCCAACAATGGGTAAAAAGTTTGAATTGTTAAGAACTCCCTTGAACTATTTAGTCTGAAAAGATTGCGTGTCTCCTAAATTGAACTATTTAAAGAATGATTATGTCGAATTTTATCAATAAAAGGTTAGATTGAAAAAGAGGAATTATCGCTGTGTTTAACTTCCTGCAAATCAATGTAAATATTTGATAAACTCAGGGGGAACCAGAAAATTAAAATAGAATTTTAGAAATATTAATTTTCAATACGCCATTTTTTCATCGTGCTTCATAATAATTTCGCTGATTTTGTGATTACATAATTAACGCCACATTTTTTTAATTACAACTTGCCATAAACCTTTCCTGGTGTCATGTGTGATGTGATATCTATCTATCTATCTATCTATCTATCTATCTATCTATCTATCTATCTATCTATCTATCTATCTATCTATCTATCTATATATCTATCTATCTATCTATCTATCTATCTATCTATCTATCTATCTATCTATCTATCTATATATCTATATATCTATCTATCTATCTATCTATCTATCTATCTATCTATCTACTATCTATCTATCTATCTATCTATCTATCTATCTATCTATCTATCTATCTATCTATCTAACGATACTCCGGATATTCCCTGTTGACGGGATTAAGTGCTCGGAGCTAGGAGCGACCAACAGGACCAAGTATGGAAATATCATTCAAAACGTTTTTTATCTTTTAAAACATCAAATACCGATCTAACAACACCCTAAATGTCCAACGTAAGCCTATGCCCTCCAAAGACCCCAAAACCCTCCGTTATTCCTGGGAAAGTAGAAGATGATGCCCTAAAAAGGACTGCTGGAGTTCAAAATCCCTTAAATTGAATCTTTAAAAGCTAGATATGTCAGAATGGAAGAATAGACCGGGAAAGGAAGGGAGAAGGATGGGATAAGAGAAGAAGGAAGGTTTAGGAAAAAAGGAAGGAAGAAGAGACAGGGAAAGGAAGGAGAAGGAAGTTTTAAGAAAAAAGGAAGGAAGAAGAGACAGGGAAAGGACGAAGAGCAGAAGTAAGAAAGAACTAAGCTGGGGAAGGGAGAAGAATGAGATAAAGAGAAGAAATAAGAACAGAAAGGGAATGTAAGGAGAAGGATTGGATGAAGAAAAGAAGTAAGAAAGGAATAAGCAGGGAAGGGAAAGGAAGGGAGAAAGATGGGACGAAGAGAAGAACTAAGAACTAAGAAAGGAATAAGAAAGGAAAGGGAAAGGAAGATAGAAGGATTGGATTCACCGACAAAGGGTCAAACGACCCAGGGTCAAACGACAAAGGGTCAAACGACACAGGGTCAAACGACACTTGTCGTTTGACCCTGTGTCGTTTGACCCTTTGTCGTTTGACCCTGGGTCGTTTGACCCTTTGTCGGTGAATCAAGGATTGAAGGGAGAAAAAACTAAGAAAGGACTAAGCAGAGGAAGGGAAAGGAAGGGAAAAGGATGGGATGCAGAGAAGATAAAGAAAGGACTAAGAAAGGAAAGGGAAAGGAAGGTAGAAGGATGGAATAAAAAGAATAAGTAAGAAAGGACTAAGAAAGGGCCGGGAAAGGAAGGGAGAAGGATGGGATGAAGAGAAGATCTAAGAAAGGACTAAGAAGGGAAATGCGAAGGAGGAAAGGAAAAAAAGAAGGGAGAAGGAGGAAAGATAGGGGGAAAAAGTGAGAAGAGGCAGGGAAGGGAAGGGAGAAGGATTGAACAAGAAGAAAAGCTAGAGGCTAAGAGGGAATACAAAAAGTTTATATGAATGTGTCTGTGTACACACTAAATGTACACTTGCACAATTGATGTGTTTCATGTTCAATTTAAGAGTTGTCTGCCTATCCCACTGTTTTATAGGTCCCACTGTATCCTGGTTTAAATACATGTTTCCCAACTCTTTATAAATCTTGATTGTTCAGAATCATTATTATAAGATCTTTAACTGGTTTGAATACTTCCTTTAAGAACTAGGTTTAGTTAAATACAACAAACTCTCATCTTCATTACTCTTCTACTCTTCTCATGCCTGGCAGTAAAATAGGGGGGGGGGGGGATATTTTTTAGAGTATTTTAGTTAAAACGGGAGGGGAATAATAAAGTCTTTTGTTAAATAAAGTTAAACATGAAGTGTGAAAAGTTTATGGCACCAAGTAATTTCAGGATAGAGGGGGGAGGGATGTTTTATACCCCCCCCCCCTTAAGGTATGAACATCTTAACATATATAATATTTTATTCTATTCTATTCAGAATTTTATTAATTTCCATCTAATATTTTGAATATCTTAGTATTATACCGGAAAAAAAGATAGATATATTTCAATATTACAATATAAGCATAAAAATGTAATTTTGTCCTGTGAACAGCCAGGTTCTTTCTAACCATCGCTTCTTGTTTTGACTGAGAGATCATTTTGTGAACATGATACAAAAAAATCAATTCTAAAAATAAATATTTTTCTGTATTTAAAAAAAAAAAAAATGTAAAATATATATGGCTGGAGAATTCATTAATTATGTCTCACTCAATCTTCGTTGGATCATTAAAGAATGTCTACAAACCTGAAATATATAATTGATTAATATTTTTCAATTGATTATCTCAGCGAGGTTGATCAAATCAAATTCATCATATACTATCTTGAGTTGAGTTTACATATATGTATTGTGTACGCATATGATAAATAAACCGAGAATGATAGGTGACGCATTTTGACGCATTGTGCATCCTCTCTTCACTCACGTACACGTCATCCATCAGAAAACCGTACGCTTTCAAAACTTTTAGTATTCATATCTTAAAAGAACCATCAACAAATTCCATGTTTAAAGGAACAGATAACAAATTCCATGTTTAAAGGAACAGACAACAAATTCCATGTTTAAAGGAACAGACAACAAATTCCATGTTTAAAGGAAACATTAACGAATTCCATTTTTAAAGGAACCATCAACAAATTATATGTTTAAAGGAACAGCCAACAAATTCCGAGTTTAAAGGAAATGTCAACAAATTTCAAGTTTAAAGGAATAATCAACAAATTCCGAGTTTAAAGAAAATGTCAACAAATTTCAAGTTTAATGGGTTAATCAACAAATTCCAAGTTTAAAGGAAATGTCAATAAATTTCAAGTATAAAGGAACCATCAACAAATTCCAAGCTTAAAGAAACTGACAATTAATTCCAGGAAACTGTTCATTTGAATTTGGCCACAAACGATGTAAATCAGTTTTATTTAATCAAATTGAATTCAATTTTATTTATTGACACAGATTTGGCTTATTTTATAAAAACAATGAATGAATAAATTGAAAAAGCGTATGCTTATAATTTGAAAAACATTAACCATTTTTTTCTTTTGTTCACATTTTCAAGGGAGGTCTTTGTTGTTTTTCGGGTCAATGGGTCTCCCCTAAAGTGATACATGGCATCTTCTGATACCCTGACAAAACCCTAGATTCACGACTATCCATTCATCTACGCAATCTATCCTTACATCAAATTGACGCAAATATATACGCATCAAGGAAGAATGCATTCGCGTATCACAAAAAACCCAGCCCAACAATTCTTTACAGTTTTCATCCTCTTCAAATCTTCACATTGTCAGGATGACCTTCGGCCATTTTATTTTTAAAAAAAGTGTTACTAAATATATTTGACAGAAATATTTTGGAAGTTTATTATCGAATGTTCCTATCTAGTTTTTTGAATAATTTTCGGTTTTACAAAAATAAATTCAATAGAAAAACACATGATGTATTAACACAGTGGATGAAGTTGGGGGGNGTTGCTTATTTTATGAGATACATAATGAGTATGAGTGTTGATGTTGAGCGCGTTAGTTGTGCGCGCAGCGAACCCGGCAGTTCAAGTTTGGCTCTCGTGCGCTCAACATCTCTACGCGACGTGAGTTATTAAATGATTATTGTATAAACGATAAATATGTACCTCTTAAATCAACAGCCTCCCGTGTACAGCGTACTGTACATAATGTACATACATGTTGACAGTGTACAAAGTGTTGTTTACAGTGTTGATTATATGAGCGCCAGGTGTTAAAAATCGAGTGTCGACCTTGAACCCTGTAACTGTTGCCTGGTCAAGGCACTATGCCCATGATTGTGACAGGGCCTGAGGGTTTGATGTGTAGGATGTGTTATTGGTTTATTAAAACCAGTTTTTTAGACTCTTTTATGCTTGGATAGATTAGGATTACATAATATCTGAGAATTGTTCTCCAGATGTGGTTTGATCTGTGCTATTCTTGCTACCCAGAGCAACACCCAAATCATCTTGAGATAAAAACTCGTCTTTTCTGCTCCTCTCTCTCTCTCTTTCAAACCTAATCCTCTTGCAAACTTTGAAACAATCATCTCATAAATCAGGGGTGTACACTTTACAATGTGCACCGTACGTACATAGATATGTACACTGTACGTACATAGACATTTACACTGTACGTGCTTAGCCATGTACACTGTACGTACATTAAGCGATTAGTTATAATGTAGGCTAGACAAATGTACATAAAAGCTTAAAAAAAATATTTATATGTATTTTGGTTTGTTAAACTACTGAAGAATAAAACCGTCCCCATGTATACACTGCAGTACATTGTACAGTCTGAAAATACAATCAATCATATTTTTACCACCTTGCCAGTAAAATTTGAAGGATGATTCGTCAGAGCAATAACGGTACATGAGTACCATTCGGTACAGTACAATTTTAAATGAACTTTGAGTTTAGAGAGAGCCTAATATATTGCAAATATTTATTACATGGCTTACTCGTGTACATTTTCTTTTATAAACTCATTAAACTAAACACCTATCATTAACTTTGCTAATTTAGAGTATTTTAGTTAAAACGGGAGGGGAATAATAAAGTCTTTTGTTAAATAAAGTTAAACATGAAGTGTGAAAAGTTTATGGCACCAAGTAATATAAATTATCATGGTGGGTTTAATTATCAATAAAGATAACAAGGATCTTCCATCTATCTATTTTTTATCTATCTATCTATCCATCTATCTATCTATCTATCTATTTAATAAACACTCAGACCTATCTATCTATCTATAACTAATCTAATTAACTATTATCACTTTCTTTTAATTTTCCTCACCCCGTTGATTTTGACTAGTTGTAAACTAGATTTCTATTCTTAGCTTCATATCAGAGGTAATTGAACACTTGCCTCACGTAAACTAAATACAACAAACTGCATCCTGTCTGAATTTTTAAATCTGTTTATATATCTAATTTAAAATCCGTCAAGAATAGCGTATAAGACATATATATATACTTAAATATTTAAAATACAGCCCTGCACAAAAGTATAAAGAGCAAATACAAAAAAATCTACATTTAATGGGTGCAGTTAGTTTCAGGGTCTCAGGACTTCTAGTTTACTGTGGCCTCTCACTATAATTTTCAAATCCTCATATCTTTGCAATATGAGTGTGCATCAAACTTTGACTGTTTAATTTATTTAGCAGGAAATAAACTTTACATATCAATGGCGTACGTATATATCAATGGTCAGGTTGTAAAGATGAGAATAGAAAATTAGAGGTGTTTATTTCCTCTGTGTGGAAGGTAATCCCAGGAGTGGTTTTTGGTAGATAAGAATCATGTATCCAAAAAAGTTCGTCAGTAAAACAGGTGTAAAATATTAAACATTTCTATTTTACTTTAAACTATCATGATGGTCATAATTATTTTCGTCCCATATTTCTCTTTCTCATTTTTTTCAATTTCATCACTTTCATTTTCATCATTGTTTTTTTTTCTAACAGTGAGAAAAAGAAAACGCTGGGATAAGAAGACGACTTTTAAACTCAAGTTTTTACTTTAAATAGTTCAATGTACAGAATACACCTTCAGTTACAGATATATGCTGTGTAAACAGACCCATTTCAATGAATAAGTGATATAATAAGTTACTAGTAAAACTATGTGTAAAACATCAAATACACTTGAGTATTGATATGATGTCGACTTCCAATTCCATAGTTTTCTGGTTCTCACTGTATTTTCCTGCATTCCCCTTCCCTTGAATCTGTTTGAGGTTCTATGTTGTCTAACTAGATCCATTCCCCTTCCCTTGAATCTGTTTGAGGTTCTATGTTGTCTAACTAGATCTATTTAAAGATGACTCATTGATTATCTAAGTTTGGATACAGGTTTATGTTTACAGATACCAATATAATCTTTGCTAGTCTAGTACCAGGGTACACCTTGCAATTAAAGTACAAAAGTTCACTAAATTTGGTACAAATTTAGATATTTATAGCGTACTCTGCATACACTGTTATACACTGTACAATGTGCACTGAATTTAAACTACTTATTGTAAAACTGTACGATAAACACTATAAACTGTTAATTGTAAACTGTAAACTGTAAACTGTACACTATAAACTGTTAATTTTAAACTGTACACTGTAAATTGTACACTGTAAACTGTTAATTGTAAACTGTACACTGTAAACTGTACACTGTAAACTGTAGATAGATAGATAGATAGATAGACAGATAGACAGATAAAGAGACAGATAAATAGATAGATAGTTAGATATATGCATAGATAGATAGATAAATAGATAAATGTATAGAAATCTATCTAGAACTAAAGATAGATCAACATGATGATTTAAATGAACTATTATATTGAAGTATGTATGTTTGAAGATCGTAGATAGATATATATAGGTAGGTAGTTAAGTAGGTAGGGCATATAGGCTTACTTCAACATAAATTTAAGGCAACAAGGTTCAAACCAATGCATTATACCAGGGGGGGGGGCTCTATCCAAATATGAGATGGATTTAAATGCTCAAGAGATTCTAATCCGATATGCTCTATTTGTGCGTCAGCATTAACAAGTTAGTTTTGCACCATAAATACACCAGCGAAACACCAGAATACACCAGATATCTACCAGAATTATCCAAAAAACACCAAACATTGCAGATTAAAAACAAAAAACACCAGATATTCACCAAACCTATACCAAAACACCAAATATGTGCATCAGATATAATACGTATACCAGATAAACAACAGATAAGATCCACCTTTATATGCATCAGAAAAGTACCGGATTCTAAGATAAATTGATAAGACTATAGTAGAAAGACATCCATATAGATATATAGATAGATACACAATGTGTATTATGTAGATGATTAAAGATAGCTATAAAAATCCCTATTGGTTATCTTAACATCAATATTTGGCCACAAATTTGGGAATATTTACAACACTAATTTAATTTATGCTAAATAAATTAATTTTAGCATTTTTTCTAATATTCATTCTTTTATCATTTTGATCCTCTTGATCCTCTTGCTCATCTTGATCCTCTTAATCCTCTTAATCATCTTGATCATTTCAATTCGTCTGATTCTTGAATCTCTTGATCCTCTTGATCCTCTTGATACTCTTGATCCTCTTCATCATTTTAATTCTCTTGATTCTCTTGATCCTCTTATCATATTTATGCTCTTGATCCTATTGATCCTCTTGATCTTTTTTATCCTCTTTATTCTCTTAATCCTGTTATCATGTTGATCCTCTTGATCCTCTTGTTCCTCTTGATCCGCTTGATTCTCTTAATCCTCTTATTCTCTTGAATCTCTTGATCATATTGATCCTCTTGATCCTTTTTATCTTCTTGATCCTCTTGATTCTCTTAATCCTATTGCTCCCATTGATACTAATCTTGTGATTATTTCAGGTTGCATCTTCAGCATAGAACTCTTGATCCGTTCAAGAGTTTAGTTTTGCTAGTGAACAAGTTGAAGTAAGGTTGAAGCAATGATCTCTCTGTATCTTGACCCAAAACAGTTCTATCTCATATCAAAACTCAAGAAGAGGAAGCAATGCAAACTACAGTGCTTTCTCTGAGTAAGGTGAGCATTTTTTAATTCAACATTTTAAAATCTAGTTTTTGCACTTTTTTCATTTTTGCCCTTCCCCTGCATTGCCATGAAAAAGTTTGCAGAAATAAATTGCAGTTTTGTTAATGCAATGACGCAGAAAAGTAAAAAACCATTTCCGCCCACTTTGCACTGATTTCCATGGCGTTGCGTAATTTTGCAAAGGTGCAGCTGTTAAAAATATTTTTTTTTTAAATTATTGTTCGCAACATTTGGGGCCAGAAGGGGTTAGGCAATGTATTTTTACTACGTTTTGCACATATGTACAAAGTGACTAATACAACCCTATGTGTTATATCAGTGTCAATATTAACCTTAGTCTGAAGTGCAAATATTTACTTTTTTATTCATTTCCTACAGACCTTTACTAGCCGATAGTGTGCGCTGGTCACTTTTGAGCAACAGAAAAATGTTTCAATTTGTTTTGGGAGGGAAGTGCACACAAAACTGACCATTTAAAGGCAAAAATAATTTATGCACGGAAATTACGAATACAGAATACAGAATACAGAATACAGAATACAGAATACAGAATACAGAATACAGAATACCGAATACAGAATACAGAATACAGAATACAGAATACAGAATACAGAATATAGAATATAGAATACAGAACACAGAATACAGAATACAGAATACAGAATACAGAATACAGAATACAGAATACATAATAAAAATACAGAATTCAGAAAATACAAAATACAAAACAAAAATACTAGATATTTATAGAATGAAGAACACTAAATATGGAATACAGAATACTAAGTGAAAAACGCATAGTAAAATGCATATAATAGAATACAGAAAACAGATTGCAGAACAGAAATGTTAACGTAGAATACAAATTACATAAGATTGAATGCAGATTACAGAATACAAAATACTGACTACAGGATACAAAGTACAGAATACAGAATACAGAATAAAAATACAGAATACAGAATACAGAATACAGAATACAGAATACAGAATACAGAATACAGAATACAGAATACAGAATACAGAATACAGAATACAGAATACAGAATACAGAATACAGAATACAGAATACAGAATACAGAATACAGAATACAGAACACAGAATACAGAATATAGAATACAGAATACAGAATACAGAATACAGAATACAGAATACAGAATACAGAATAAAAATACAGAATTCAGAAACTACAAAATACAAAACAAAAATACTAGATATTTATAGAATGTAGAACACTAAATATGGAATACAGAATGCTAAGTGAAAAATGTAAAGTAAATGCATATAAAAGAATACAGAAAACAGATTGCAGAACAGAAATGTTAATGTAGAATACAGATTACATAAGGGTGAATGCAGATACAAAACACTGACTACAGGAGACAAAGTACAGAATACAGAATACAGAATACAGAAAACAGAATGCAGAATACAGAATACAGAATACAGATAGCAAAATTTATAATACTGAAAAGATGCTGTGAGGATGAACTTTATCATTTCTTGTGGTTTTATTACTTTGCAATTCAAAAGATTGAATTTATATGTATTTTACAATGCATTTTTGGCGGAGTTGTTATTTTCACCAGAAATATCTACTAAATAAAAAATAAGTCCTTGATCTAATTTTACTCTTAAGTTTTCCTGTAAATGACATTTAAAGAACATTAAAAGTCGATTATAAAGCTAAATTCATTAAAACAAATTTCAATTCTCTGCTATTTTGAAATAAACTTGCTTAAAGATGTAAAAAAGAAAACGCCCTAAATTGTATTACAGAGAATCAAATTCCACTTATTCAGCAATTTATTGGGTAAAGACTGTTTTACTGGCGTTAAAATCTTTTTTTTGTTTTATAGTTTATGCAATGTTTTTAATTCCTACATGGTCATCAGTGCAATGATTTTATAATTTTCAAGTTTGTTTCTTTTTTATTTAATCATTGGTTTATTTCTTTATCGAAATTTGTTCTATTCCCTGTGGGCAATGACCAATGCCCATTTCATGACCGACACCTTGAAGCGTAAACTGAGTAAATAGATTATTGGGGTTTTTGTCTCTTGAAGTCTGTATACGGGGGATTATAAAGAATCACGTCTAAGCTAATTGTTTGTTTGGTCAAGGTCACATTCCTATCTTTCTCTCTCTCGTATATTGAATTGATACTTCCTCCAGAGAATAGCTTTACAAGATGTACCAAAGAAAAAAATATTAATTATTATTTGTTTTTTTTTAAATCTTTAAAAACTTGTATTTTTTCTGAAACCACGTTTATATTGTTTTAAATGGGCCTCCAATAAAATAAATATGAACTCAATGATAAAATATTCCTGCACTTGTTTTACAATATGTTTAAAGCAAGCAATGTCAAGTTTAGTAGACATTTAATGTCGACGCCTTGATTTCATGACATCGTTTTTTTCTTCACAGGTGGACATCTGGTAAAATATTGTCTATGGTTGAACTCTGACTGTCCTGGCCGGGGTTAAAATGCAATTATTTATATTTTTGCTCGGAGCACTTCTGCGTATATATATGCGTATATATCTTACCCCGTGCATTTTATAGATGACGCATTCTTTGCGTTCTTATCCCTGTTTGTACGCACTACAATGATACAGGGTTACCCCAAAGGATGAGACTTTAAAAACGACATAAAACTCTTGAGATAAAATAATTTGAAGATTGATTATGGGTTTCTACCTTTCGTACAGTCTTTCAACGGAAATTTTAATAGATTTAGAAGAAAACAATAGTTTACTGCTGCAGGGAGACATAATTACAAGAAAAAGACTGAATAGATTCCGTCCAGTTGTCTCTGAAGTCTCAGTTTTAAGGATAACCCTGTACTAAAAAAGATTGACATACGCAGTTTATGTACTTTTTATGAAACACTGAAACATAATCTCTAAAAAAACATTACTGATGGCGTAATATGTTTTTATAATATTTTTAATAAAGTTTACATCTTTTTCAGGTGAAGAGATCTCCTTCTCTCCACTCGGAGCAGTCAAGCCTATCCGACTCCAAGCACGTCAGTTTCAATCAGGACGTCAGCGTCAAGCGGATTCCCAAGAAACCGATCAAGGCAACTCGCTCCGTCCCTCTCAACCCGGCCGACGAGTTCTCTGGGAGGTGTGAGAGCTTTACAAATATCCCTCCGCCCTCTGACCAGAATCAGATTGCTGAAGAGGCGGAGGATATTCTGAAGCAGCTCCAGGAGATCGAATGCTCTGTATCAGCTAATCCTCGGGAACTGAAGCGTGTAGTTTCTCCTACCCGGATACTAACCCCATCCCGTGTTCTCTCTCCAACCCCCTTTGGACGAATATTTAACTCCAACCCTCATTTAAACCAGAGAGCATCTCCCAGCCCCTTTGGATCCCGTCAGAGTACTTTGGAACGTCGACCCTTTCTTGGAGGACGTTTAAGCAAAAGTTCTAGTGACCTAATCCAACCCAACCCTGCTATGAGAGTAGAAGGGTTTAGTGAACAGGAGGACTGTCCTAGTCCTGCAGATCACAGGCTTTATGGACTTCAAGCCCTGAGTAAATTAGACAATGCTCTCAATGGGAAAGTGAACAATTTATACAGGGACAGATCAGTGCCCGCTGAATACTCCCCCTCCCCTAAAATGAACAATTTTACTCCACCTAAACCTCCAAGAAAAGCTCCCAGTTCGTCTCCTCCTAATATAAGAAAAGGATACAACTCTTTAGATGAATTAGAATTTGTAGATAGACGCAGTAGCATGTATGAATCAGATATTCCTAAATATAACATGGATCTATATCCAAACTCTTATACCGGAACTAACCCAAACCTGAACCATCTCCGAGGTTCTCCTGCCCGATTTTCTCCGACCTCTAGACAATCTCCGTCCCGGAGTAATCATGACAAGGAAATTTTAAGTTCCCCCAGCCAGGTTCTCTATGCAACCATCTCTGCGGATAAGAACAAAAACTCTAACCTGAAAAACCAGCACACTGTTCATTCCTCAAGTCAAACCGTCCAATCAGGGTTCCGTCCTGTATCATCTGATAGGATGATACACTCTAGAACTCTTTCTAAAGAAAATATCCTGGATGAGCCCCCCTACAGGTTCGGTAATAATACCACAGCTCCACCCACCCATGCGAGTAGATCTCTTGAACGGTTCGTGGATTCAGATAAAGAGAACAGGAGGCAGGAACTAAAGGCAAGGATTCATGTCACTTCTCCGCATAGATTTTCTCCAGATAGGACAGTCAGTCGTAAGCCGTATAAAACCACGATCAACACTGCAAATGATACAATCCAATACCGAGGTTTTTCTACAGAAAATCTCAAGGAAGCAGATAGGCAACAACGAAACCAGTTTAAACACTCGGGAAAAAGAATGGATACGGAACACTATAAAGTCCCTAAAAACCCTGCCCCTGTTCCACAAGAACTCCTAGCAAGAAGAACTAGACGCAATGAGTCAGATGCGTACAATCATCAGAACACTGAGCGTCAGTTTGCGTCAACATCCCTAGTAAGAAATGCAGAGAAGAAAAAAGGGCTTGGAGAGTATGATAGAGAGGGTAGACAGATACACACAGATAGATCTGGAGAGAGAACCAGAGCTTACTCAGGGTACAGTACTAGTCCGGAGAGAGAAATCAGTCCTGATAGATTTATCAAGCACAAGTCAGGATCTAAGCAACATGTTACTAATCATAGATCCCCCAGCTCCTCTCCAACACGTCCTCCTAGAACCAGGGGAACACAAGGAGAACATCAGGTTCCAATTAGAAGAGAACATAGTGGTAGAAAGGTGGAGAGAACACCTAGTACTAGAGCAGCTGCAACTAGTCGGAGTCCTATTAAGAAGATTCAACGGGTCCATAATGAAATCCAAGCAGAGCAACCTAGAGGTATCTCCAGGTTATCTAAAGAGCAGAGTTCCAGAACCCTTCCTGGTTCGAGAACTTTAACACTATCTAGGGAGAGGCATGATGGTGGAGCAAGGTTGACTAAAACTCTGCTCAAAACTCCAAGAGTAGAGAAGACTCCAGAGGCCGAGGACAGGTTCTCTAAGTTTACAGAGTACAGAGGGGACGGAGCTGAGAGCTCCTCAAGGGTTGGACGTAGATCTAGCCATAGTGTTGGAGACAGGATGCAGATTGAACCTAGATCACGAGATCAGGATAGAGAAATAATGGAACGAGAGCGAGGGCAAAGTGTTCCTCCCGGCGCCAATATCGACTCTATGCGTGATTTTTATAAAACATCTCAGTTTAGATCCATGTATCATCTTCCTCCTAACCCTTCCCGTCCCGCCCCTGTCCTTGATAGGAGCAACAAGGCGGTAGAGAGACCCTTGAGAAGAGAGAGAACTGGAGATGCTCTAATCCCGCCTCCTCGACGCCCCACCAGAACCTCGCTATCTGAGGGGGAGCTGACCGATGACGCGGCCCGCCAGGAGCGGGTTCTCAGGCAGAGGAACAAGTTCATCAATAACTTCGCCAGTAAGAACGGAGAAACATTAAGACGATCTGATAGTCCGGAGAAGGTTCAAGAACACCGGACTGTGTATAGAGGAGGAGAAGGACGGAGACAAGGTAGTAGAGAGAAGCGTCCTGCTCCTCAACCTCCTACACAGAGGATAAGAAGATCTAGTGTAGAGGTTCTAGAAACTTCTGAGAGTGAGAGTCCTAGAATAGAAAAGGTTGGTTTAAAATCTTGTCTCCATAATCTTTCTTAGGTTCAAATTCAATCTTTCTCATGTACTCTAACGAAACCTTGAAATTTTAACATCTTTTATGTCTTCATAAGATTTGCTAGTTGCAGAAACTAGTTTTTCTAAATGTCACTTTAAATCTAATTTTGCTTAATTTTACAATAAAACTAGTTTTTCTGAACTATCCCTAACTTTTGCTAACTGTCACATTAAATCTAGTTTTACAAATTGTCCGTCTCAAAGCTAGTTTAGTAAAGTTTCATTTGGAATGTTTTTTTGTCATCTTAATCTATTTTTAAACAGTGGAACCCAACACACTGCGGAAACTGTGATTTTACAAAGTTTATTGAACAGAAAACTGCACAGTACAGTACTGTACNTGGGATTTTGATGATGATGATTTTTTGCATCGATCTATAATGGCCATAGCCAATAGTTGACGCTAGAACAATTTTGCTTTACTTGATTTGGTTTTGTTCAAACTTTTTTTTTTTTTTATATTTTTATATAAACCAAATTATTCCCCAAAGTTGAACCATGCTGTAAAGCAGGCAGGAGTCAGGTTTAAAGCCTAGAGCTGAACTAGGCTTAAACAAGGTTCGAGGAATAGATTAAATTGATTTAGGATTTGAGTGTCTAGACCATAGACTAAATATTACCTACAGACACTTCAATAAATATCATCTTTGAACATTTACGAAGGAAATACAAAAAATGGCATGTTTTTGTTAAACTATGATTTAAAAAGACTGTAAACGTATTTTCAAGTGATCCTCGTTTAAGAGAATACTATTGACCACAGTATCATTAAAAGCTTTATTTGATCAAGTATCATGTTGATCATGTTTTTTAAAACTCATTATTTTCATTTGTGGTTTGTCCACAAAAACTATAGCGTTTTTCGCATCAGAAATAACGGAGAAATTAACAGAATTAACTTTTTCAAATTTAATTTTCCACATCAGTGATCAAATTAAGGCTTCTAGGGTCCTCTGTAAATTGGGAATGTCTCTCTTTAAATGCAGGGTCACTTTAAACTACATCAAGAGTCCCTTTAAGAACACATAAACATTGACAATTTCAATGTTTCAATGTTGTTTATGTTTAAATATGACTTGTCTGTGTTCATTGTTTGTTTATGATGAGGAATCAGTCTCAAATATAAAAAGGAACAGCGATGTCATTTCCTCAATTCAGATTTTTATGATGTCACACGACTCAAAGCATGTAAAGAGGATAGAAATAAGTATTTTTCAAGTGGGATTACAAGATCTATTTGGCTCTTCAGTCTCAATCGTTTTCAACTTCGAGTTTGCTAAAAAATACATCTGTTGTAGAATTTTTAAAACTCAACATAAAAAACACGATAAATAGGAGACTTTTTAATTTGCAGTTTGATGGAATTAGTTTTATTATAAACTAGCTGAAGGGCCCGGCGTTGCTCCTGGAAAAAAAATTTTAAGATAAAAAAAGTTAAAAACAAAAAGAATTTGAATTTTTAGCCTAGGACACCCTCAGGCTAACCATGAGTGTCCACAACAAATGTCAGCCCATTTTGTCCAACCGTTTGGCCAGCTGTAGGGACACATTAATAAATGTCTTGTGTTATTATATAGATATGTATTTCAGAAATACTTCAACATAAATCTTTTCAAAAATGGAAAACTGAAAATTCAACTCCTGAAAATTAAATGTGCTTAACTTTTTTTCATTCTGTTGCTTGCCACATAACAATATGACGAATTTTTATATAAACAACTTCATTTTTTCATAAATTATGCGAACAGTTTGTGACGTCATTGAATTTGCAATAAGGAAACCATTTAGCCTAGAAATTCTCAAGATTTTCCGTAAAAAGTCACGTACACAAACTCCCTTTACCGCACACATTTATTTTTAATATTTTTAATTTCCTAAACCTTGAAAAAACACATTTAGGATTAGGAAGAAGAAGAAGGGTTCAGTGATTTTAAGAAAAGGGGCGGGGTTGTTTCTAAAATAAATGTATAGGGGCGGGCAGGGCAATGGGTGTTTCATCATTCCTTTAATTACTAAAGCTTAATATAATCTGTTTAATCTAGCCAATATGTCTATTCTGTCTAATTATCTATCTACCTTATCTGTCTATTTTGTATAATCATTCTATATTTATTTATCTATCTATCTGTCTATTCTGTCTAATTATTCTATATCTAGTTATAGCTATTTATCCGTCTATTTTGTCTAATTACATATTATAACTATCTATCCGTCTATTCCAACTAATTATTCTATATCTATTTATCTATCTATTTGTCTTTTCTGTCTAACTATTCTATACTATCCTTCCTTCTATTCTGTCTAATTATTCTATATCTATTTATTTATCTATCTGTCTAGATACTTTGATTAATAATTCTATATCTATTTATATATCTATCTATTATTATATATCTATTCTATCTATTTATCTATCTAACGTTAAATCAAAGTTTTATTTTTTTCATCTACATTGTATTTTTTGCCTTCTTTAACCTTTACTTAATTTGTGTTCAGATTAATCAACTTTTTCGAATTATTTAATCTTATATCTTTGCTATCACAGGGCAAATATTTTATCATTGAACTGCATTGTCGTTGTTGCATGTTTAAGGATTTTAAAGTTTGTAAAAATAACGTGTTTTTTAAAGTATATTCAACAACGACAACAATTTAGAACTAGCTAATCTTATACTGGAAAAATTGAATATCTCAGTACGTCCAGGGTTACCCACAAAGAATGAGACATTAGAGACGAATTTAAGGATTTGTTGAGCTTTTTCTTGCATTTTTAAAATTTTTTCTTCGAAAATTTAATACACTAAGAAAATAGAGTACTAGAAGCAAAATTTAACCTTTCTATCGTGATTTTCTTAAGCCGTAGGTCGTCACTACAGTCTCATTTTTTGTGGGAAACCCTGTATAACCAATTCAAGAAAGATTATGTCATTTTCGTAACAAAACATTCTCAAACTTATAATTCTTAAAACTTTGAGGATGTTCTTCTTAACAAACTAATTCAAATAATTTTATATACATTGATAAATAATAACTTTTATGTTATTTCTTTTTCTTCATTAGTAATACCGCTAAGAAATTTGCTATCCAAAATTGACAAATATGTGCTCTGAGCTGAAAACATTAGAATTGTGGATATCGAGATCAATGCTTGATCTCATCTTTTTGTTAATATAATCTTTATATAGATATCCCCGAAAATGTCTAAAATTAAACCAAGAGTGTCGTTTGCATACGCCAAACAGTCAATTTGAGACCGGAAAATGTATAACACACTCAATGAGAGAATTTTTATTGGTTGGTTCCCAGCAGGGATATCCAAAAGAAATTCTAAAGTTTTCAGCTCTGGACATTTTTGGAGAGAAATATCCAATTATAACAGGTTCAAATAAGAAATCCTCAGCAGTATTTTTAGATGAAAGAAATAACAAAGCCGACAATAATTTCCCTGTTAATTTAATAAGATTTTACTATTAATCAACTAATTAATTAATAACAAATCAGCATGTCTGGAGTTATTCCCTGGCTGAGACGGATTCGGATCCTGTAACCGTCCGTCATGTGGTTCTCCGTCCTAACTCCGTTGTTCTCCGTCCTAACTCAGGGTTAGATGATCCCAGGCCCAGGCTTAGTCTTTACGAACCTGGGCCTTACTCCTATAAGGTAGGCGGGCAAATGTACGTTCAAATGGCCGGGCATGTGGGTGGTTCGGTTAAATGGGTTTGCAAATGGGCGTTAAAGGGAGTGACTGGCAATGTATGGTAGTTGAACTGAGAATGTAGTATTGTGGAGAAATTTTTTAGGAATCATTTGAGACCTATGAGACGTTATTACGGTGCATATTTGTTGGGCAAGAGTCAAATTCAATCTTTAAACTCCTCATAGATTGTTCTTTTTTAACAACGACAAAAAATGTAGTAAAAATTCTTCAGTATTCAAATTAGTTGTTTAGGAACAAGTTGAGAAGATAGAAATTAACTATAAGTATATAATAAAATAAGTAATCTTATTCGGTTATTGGTTTCTGTAATGTCTCATTGTTCACAAACATTTTCTGTAGATTTCGTAGAATTTTTATTGAAAAGATGACATTTGAAGAATTTGAAGAAATCTGCGAACAAAATTATAAAAAATAAGAAATTCAATACTTTGAAGAAAAAGGAATAATTGATTCTAACATTGATTGCCAGTTACTCCCGTTAATGTGGATTAAAAAATATAAAAGGTATAGATAAATTTTAGGAAAATTAATCTTATTTGTTGTGGTTTTGTTCGTTTTGCATTTGGAGTTTATAGTGAGTGAGCTAGTGCATGCTTTGGAAGGGTCAATGTCTGAGAGTATTCGCACCGAAATTGAAACCACTAGAAAAATAAGATTGCTTTAGATTTCTCAAAAACTAGAAAGATAACAAATACTAGACTTTACAGAGAAGTAAAATCGAATCAAGATTAAAATCAACAAAACTTCATTTTGAATTGCCTGCCTAGACGTGTTTGAATCCCAATTTAGAATATTTCCTCTGCACCATCTCTAATTCCGTATTATTTCAAGCTTCTTCCATGCTTGTAATTTCTACAATTTGTTATTTTTCTATTTTTCTATTTTTGGTCTGAGGGGAGAATCTTATTCTTGGAATCCTATTCCGTAATTTTAATGTTTTCAGACAACATAGCGTGAGACGTTGGCTTTAGCTCATTTTTATAAATGNTCCGTCTGCTTTATAGGGAATTAAATTTATTTTTGTGAAAAGCAAAAACTGAAAAGTGAGTTGACTTTTGTGAGTTGAGACTTAACTTTGATTTTTTCCCAAACCGTTGAAAATTATCAAGTGAATACAGTTTAATGCAAAAAAAAATATTTTTTTCAGTATAAAATACGATTTTTTTTTAGCTTAAAATCGAGACGTTAAAAAAATAGAATCTCTCCCTTTGAGATTCAGCAGTTTGTCTCTGCAGTAACATTTGTAGCATAATCTTTTAAGATTTAGTGAATATTCCGTTAAGATTTTGCAGTCCACCCCTTTATGATTTGGCAAGAGGGTTCGTGCGGCAATTTGAGATCCTGATTTACGGGTTATACACCGTTAAATCTTTAATTAGGGAGGGTGGAGGACCCTTTAGATAAGGATTTTTGAGAATATCGGAGTACAGGGAGAGAGGGAAGTAAATAGGCAAAACAAAATAAAGAATGTAAAAATACAGGGTTGGATGGAAAGTATTGAAAAAGAATTAGAATTTAGAAAAACTTGGAACTAAAAATGAAGAAAAGGAGAAATGATTTAAAGGGATTATATAGCAAAAAGAATTGAATCACGTACTTGAGCTGGACGAAAAAGATATTGGGAGTANTAGGGGGGCTGGTAGTTTTCTTAGATCAAGACATTAGTTCACGCTGGATCAAGTATTTAAATAGATTAAGCATCTTCTGCCAATCTTCTTTAGAAAAGATTTCAACGCTTTCGGAGATTTCAACAAAGTCGCGTGTAACGGACACTGACAGGTGCCTGGAATGTCATGCGTTTACAACGGAGGGTCGCAGTTTGATAGAGACAAGTCGATCTCATTTTTGCAAAATAAAATAGAAAATTAGATAAGCTGAATCTGTTATTCAATACTATTTTTCTTTTTTCTAAATTATTGTAGTGTACATTTTATTTTCTTGAGTATCATAGTTTAAATTTTTCTTTACTAAATGTTTTAATTGCTATGCCAATAATGCAATGTCTTTGTTATGGGGGGAGGAGAGGAGGGAATGGAGGGAGGGGGTGTAGAAAGAATTCAATAAAGGTTTGGGGCTTAGAGTGGATAGGATTTAGAGTAAAAAAGTGGTATTTTATAAATAAGCTGGTGCTAGGACAGGTTTTGAATGCATTTGAGAAATTTGAAATCTCAGAATTAGCAATGTAGTTTCATAGCATTAATATCATGTTTTATTTTAAGCATACATAATATTTAAAGAAAATAATGAAAAAATTAAAATATTTTTATACATTTCCGATAGTATTAATTTCTCAAATTTCAGTGTATATTTATTTTGTGGAATTTAAACATCTTAAACACCGTGTATTTTATGATATTCGATCAGATAAATACACTGGACCAATTTTTGTATCAACTATATCATTTTCATTTAATCCATTGATTACACATACAATACAAGTTTTATACGTATTATCTATCAAGATTAAGTTGTAATCTCTGTTTGTCTGTTTTTTTCTTTGTTTGCCTGACCATGACTGAGAAACCTCGGGCCGATTTGCCTAACATTTTGATTGGGGAAACTCAGCTTGGCTTGGTTTTGAGATTCTAAATTGAGTGGGTCGACTGTTATCTGGGGAAAAAAGCTGAAATCGTAATTTACGACCAAGTGCGGGAGTAACTAAGAGAAACCTGGGCAACGCTGGGTTCCCAAGCTAGTCCATATATAAAAAAGGACATACGTATATATATGTTGCCTATAGCTGGCCAAACAGCTGGACCGAATGGGCTGAAATTTTTTGTGGACACTCATGGATGCCCGGGGGGGTCGTCATGAAGGGATTAAAAATACTAAAAGTGAACAGACCATGTCTTATATCTCATTATAATCTTGTCTAATTGTCTAGCTGTCTTTAAATCTAGCTGTATAGATATATATAGCTGTCTAATTGTCTATTTGTCTAGTTATATAATTGTCTAGCTGTCTAGTTGCTTATTTGTCTAGTTTTCTAGAAGTTTGTCTAGTTGTCTAGCTATCTACAGTCCAATGAGCATGCGACACAGCAATTATGCAGTGTAAGGAGAACCATTATAATAATTGAGTTTATAAAAGTATTGCAAAATTATTTGCTTTGTAGCAATATAAAATACACTTAAGTATTAAAGTCGTCTTCCTATTTCAGAGTTTTCTAGTTATCACTGTATCAATATTTGTCTGTCCGTCTTTTTGCTAATCTGCAGTTTAATTTTGTCTGTATTTTGTCTAGCTCTCAATTTGAGTCTGTCAGTCTACTTGTCTAGCTGTCTAGCTGTCTATTTCAGTATGTATATATTAAGCATAAGTCTGTAGTATAAATACTTCAAATCTGATATTTAATCCCTTTTTTAGTCCACATGTACACTGTGCAGTCTGTATTATTAATACTTCAGATCTGATATTTAATCCATAGTTTAGTCCACATGTGCACTGTGCAGTCTGTATTATTAATACTTCAGATCTGATATTTAATCCCTTGTTTAGTCCACATGTCACTGTGCAGTCTGTATTATTAATACTTCAGATCTGATATTTAATCCATAGTTTAGTCCACATGTGCACTGTGCAGTCTGTATTATTAATACTTCAGATCTGATATTTAATCCCTTGTTTAGTCCACATGTAACCTGTGCAAGTCTGCAATTTGGAAAATATTTTCTTTCAAAATTTGAAGATTTAATTTGATATTTGCATGCTGCTGCCCTCAACTATTAAATGGTTCGTTTATAGTATATAAAAAGGCCCCCCACACCATATTCTAATTATTAAAATAGTTTATCATCATCATCGCGAGAATTTGATATTGTTGATTGAGATCAACCATAACAACATTTCCAGTATTTAATTTAACTTAAAAAATATGTTAAAGGAAATAAAATGTGTTTTTCTGATATTCGTTTTTACAATTCTTCGAAGTTAAAATAATAATGTTTGTTTCTAAAAGATAAACACAAAATGGTTCAGATAAAATATATAATTTGTTTTAAAAAAAATTTTTTGGTAAAAATTCTGAAACACAAAATGAAATATACTGATTTGAAGAAACACTGCAGGCATCCTATAATATATAATTCATGTTGTGTATTAAACAGCTCTATACAATATAGATACAATACATTTCTCATACAATAGATAGATCTTGGAGATCTATTCTAATCTACACTCTATAGACTTAAACATTTAGGGATAGATATTTACGTCTAAATTTATCATTTAGAAGTCGATTAAAAAATCAATTTTTGGTGGAAAATGTGTACTTTATAAATAATACGATTGACGCTGTGAACGGGGGGNTTACATTGAACAGTGTATCTAGTATCTACATATAATTATTATCTACGGTATACTATACTTTACATTGAACAGTGTATCTAGTATCTACATATAATTATTATCTACGGTATACTATACTTTACATTGAACAGTGTATCTAGTATCTACATATAATTATTATCTACGGTATACTATACTTTACATTGAACAGTGTATCTAGTATCTACATATAATTATTATCTACGGTATACTATACTTTACATTGAACAGTGTATCTAGTATCTACATATAATTATTATCTACGGTATACTATACTTTACATTGAACAGTGTATCTAGTATCTACATATAATTATTATCTACGGTATACTATACTTTACATTGAACAGTGTATCTAGTATCTACATATAATTATTATCTACGGTATACTATACTTTACATTGAACAGTGTATCTAGTATCTACATATAATTATTATCTACGGTATACTATACTTTACATTGAACAGTGTATCTAGTATCTACATATAATTATTATCTATGGTATACTATACTTTACATTGAACAGTGTATCTAGTATCTACATATAATTATTATCTACGGTATACTATACTTTACATTGAACAGTGTATCTAGTATCTACATATAATTATTATCTATGGTATACTATACTTTACATTGAACAGTGTATCTAGTATCTACATATAATTATTATCTATGGTATACTATACTGTTTTTCTGGCGCAATATCTGAAGAATATGCGTGACTTAAATTGTGAAGAATTTACTTCCGAAAAGAATCTTATTCTCAATATTAAATTATTTAATTGAAAAAAAGGAAAACATGTCTCCAACTAGACAATTTAATTTCTATACTTTAAACGCATGCAGCATGTTTAAAATAGTATTTTTGTTGTGTCCCCATAGACATGGTATTGAAATGTTCTATGTTTGCATATTTTTTGTAAATTAACATTTTTGTTTGCATGGTTTAAAATTCCATGTGAAAACAGAAATTTTTCATTAATGAGTCGATTTTTCCTAGGCCAAGTCTGATGTGGGCGGTAGATGGTTGAACGGACAGAGCGATGTGGAGACGGATTACCGCCGTGAGATGGCCGCCTCGGAGGCAGATTACCGCCGGGATATCGTCGGCTCTGTTCACAGTGAGGCCCGGGGTCGAGATGGTGGGCGGAGAGAAACGAACCCGCCCCCTAGTATTTACCAGCAGGCGGCTACACTGAGCAGTAGAGAAATAGAAATATCTCAGGTAAATAAACTTGACAAGTTTTTAAAGTTAAAAAATCTTATTTGAATATTTGGCATCCCTTGGTTAATCAGCTAGTGGTTAATCAGCTAGTGGTTAATCAGCTAGTGGTTAATAAGCTAGTGGTTAATTAGCTTGTGGTTAATCAGCTAGTGGTTAATCAGTTAGTGGTTGCTAAACGAAAAGACTTTCCCGGTAATTACCAGGTCTTTGTTATAATTAATTACATAGATTATACATAAATATACTTTTAATTAAAGATTTAAAGTAATGATTTAAAACATTACACTTTAAATGTATAATTTGTATTTAATGGCAGAGGTTTTGTCATTTTTAAAATCTAAAACGGAGCAAATATTAGCTATTTTTCTTAGTCCTTTATCCACTAGATGTTTTCTATTAGAGATCCTTATAAAGGAAATAATATTAAAGAGAAATTTAAAAAAAGATTTTTAGCATTTCCATTTAACAAAACATGGAAACCTATAAAAGAAATAATAAACTTTGTTAAAATTTCTATTGTATTTATGATGTTTAAGGTATTGATTTATAAAAGTTTGCTTTTTTGTACTGGTTAATCTCGAACACAGAACTGCCTTATAGTTAAACCTATAAAGGCTGGGGGTCTGAATCTATGTATATCCGGGGACCGGGGGGGGGGGGCATTTTTCAATGGATTTTCAAAAATATAGTTTTTAGATCTGTAGTTTTAGTCACAAAAAAGTTATGAACTATTTTAGATTTTTTTTTCACAGACCGGACTTTTTTTCTGCCCTGTACAGTGTACCCTACCCTACGAATTAAAAAAAATATTTTTTTAACAAAAAATCCTTTAAATTACTATTCATTAAAATTCACAAAGTCAAAAATAAGAGTGTTAGAACAAAAAAACCTACAGCCTGTTTAGGGTTAATACTTAGTTCTACATACTTTGCTCGAAGAGCTGTAGATGTAATTGTGACCCTCCCTTTAAGAGAGGCATTATATTCGAACCTTCGCCTAAGCAAATTATAAAAATAAATATTTCCATCTCAAAATAGATAATTTCCAATAGTGGGTTTAATATTAAACGGACTTGCGGAATTCTAGAGCAGAAACAACGAATAAAATTATCAGAATTTAACATTTATAAGATAATAAACAATAATCTCTTCCTGATTGTTGCTCAGCTAAAGTGTACAGTTGTGAATCAGGCCTGCAGCTCATTAATAAGGGGGGGGGGAATCATTAATAAAGGGAGGGGGGAATCATTAATAAAGGGGGGGATCATTAATAAAGGGGGGGGGGTCACTTTGAAAGTTTAAGTGTACTGTCCCTTTAAACATCAGAAAAGGATTTATACAGGGTTCTGCCTAATCGATCGATTCTTGAAGGTTCAAACAATCATTTGTTATAAACTCACCTTTAACCTTCAATACAAACAAACAAACAAACAAAATACAAACAGACAAATAAACAAAGATTGGATACTGTAAAGATCGGATTCTATAAAGGCAGGAACATACTTAGCAAATAGTCCAGAAGGGCTTAATTTTTTCATACCAGGGGCCTGCAATTTTTCATTGAGGTCTAAAACCCCCTGGAAACCATAGATTTCACTGATTCAGGGGCGGCTGAGCCCCTATATATATAGCCCTGAGTACGTCTCTGTATAAAGGTATAAAATAAAACGGAAATGAAGAAGAAAAAATAAAAGATAAATCTTCCATCAATCTTCGCCTTTCACAGGATAAGTCATGAAAAGAATAAAGTTTAGATTTTGACAACCTAAAATTTAACAAAGATCAAAAAATCAAAATACACAATAAACAAAGAAAAAGGCAAAAATCTGAACAATTGAATTCATAAATATCCCTCTCTATTGCATCAGATAAAGATATAAATTTTAAAATAAATAATGTGATCCGATAAAATTTTAAAAATATAATGAACAAGCAAGTGCAAAGGGAAAATTACAACGTTTGACTAAAACCTAATTAAGGATGGAATAATTATTCATAATTTCCGACCATCTCAAACAGACTGAGAAGAAAATGCTGAAAAAGTTACAAAAAATACAGTGGGACCCATACAATTGTAGAATAGGAAGACGACATTTAAGAAATCTAATGTGAATTTGATTTGAATGTGATTTGATAAATCAAATAGTTTTACAAATAGATTGAAAATCAATTTATTAAGTGAAATGGGTCTGTTTACACTGCACAAATTCTGTATTTCATATTCCATAATTTAAAATCATAACTTGAGTCTAACGGTCGTCTTCCTATTCTATAGTTTTATGGATCTCATAGTATAAGATGTCCTAGTTAGGGTCTAGGGACACCATAGATCTTGACTCCGTGAGATTCTAAAGTAGTTCTGTCACATGCTTCGTATAGTTGGATAGTTGGATAGTTGGATAGTTGGATAGTGGATAGTTGGATAGTTGGATAGTTGGATAGTTGGATAGTTGGATAGTTGGATAGTTGGATAGTGGGATAGTTGGATAGTTAGATAGTTAGATAGTTGGATAGTCGGATAGTTGGTTAGCTGGATAGTTGAATAGTTGGATAGTTGGATAGTTGGATAGTTGGATAGTTGGATAGTTGGATAGTTGGATAGTTGGATAGTTGGATAGTTGGACAGTTGGATAGATGGATAGTTGGATAGTTGGATAGTTGGATAGTTAGATAGTTGGATAGTTGGATAGTTGGATAGTTGGATAGCTGGATAGTTATTTGAAAGGTGTTTTCTATCATTGGTTGATTTTTTGTTTGGTAAACTTGTTTGTTGGTTTGCTGTTTGCTGTTTGGTAAACTTGTTTGTTGGTTTGCCGTTTGCTGTTTGGTAAACTTGTTTGTTGGTTTGCTGTTTAGTAAACTTGTTTATTGGTTTGCTGTTTGCTGTTTGGTAAACTTGTTTGTTGGTTTGCTGTTTGGCTCTGAGTATTTTCCTAATATGGAGAGAATGTAAAATGGTTATTTTGTTTTAAGGTTTTCAAGGCTTTGGAAAAGGGGGAGATTTTAATCTATATATTACTTTGCTTGTCTGTCTGTTTGTTTGTTTGTATCCAATAAACGTTAAAACGGCTGAACTGATTGGGCCCACTTTTTGTGAGGAACCGGGACCGCACATGATCCCAGGGAAGGTTTATGGCCAATCAGACTTCAAATATGTAATCTTAAAATATTTCTAATCTTTAAAAATTCTTTAAAAAATTTTGAAATGCGCCAAAAAATACACAAAAATGTGCCGAAATTATCTAACAGCTGAAATCTATAGTTTATATATATTTTGCCCCATGAAAAGGTTTAACTAAAATGACACGAATTTTGAGAAAAAGAAAATGTAAACCAGGTTTAAATTTATCATCAAATTACGTGTTACGCAACCCATCTTGTCAGATAGAACCAATCTGATAACTTGATTCTTTCTTCTTTTAATTATATTTGTATATAATTATATAACAAAAGAACTAGATTTACAGGGTGTAATCAGCTTATTTTGTCTTCAAATCTACTTCAAAATGTGCATACAGATTTTAATTAATATTTTCTTTCGTCTTTAGAGTTATTTTAATTATTTATAACACTGTTATTTTGGTTCGCAGTGTTATAAAGTTTTTTGACAGAAAATTTCTCTTTATCGAGAACCTTTGAGTTATAGAGAAATTTAAGTCCAAAAACTTAGGTTGTGTTTTAGGTAATTTTTCTGAACGTTTGTGTACTTATCTTATTTCAATGGCTATTTCTATAGATAAAATAAGCTTTGAAACAAAGCAGAAGTAAAAAAAAAACAAAGTTGATTTCAAATTTATTTTCATTTCAATTGAAAAATGTTATTTTGGAAATATCCTTAATTTTGTTGGAAAAAATCCTTGAACCAATCAAAACTTTATAGCACATGTACAATAATGGCAGCTAATTTAACTTTATAGCACGATTATTACTTTATAGCATGTTTATTATGAAATTCACGATGAAATAAGTAAGAATGATAAAGTACACAATAGTTTCAGAAATATCATTCTGGCTCCTTTAAAGGGTATTGAATAAGATACATTAGCACACGTGACTTCCTTGTACAAGTTGAATGTAGGAGCAAGAGTTTTGGATTTAACGACAATAAAATAAGTTAAATTTAACCCCGGTCCTTAAATATAAATTCAGAAGGTCGTAAAACCGACTCTAATACAGATTTAAACGCTGCAGAGCCATTTAAACGACTGGGTTTCAAGTTGCAATTTGAGACAAGATTATTGGCAGGTATATTTCCGTGTTTTTGCAATTCTTTTGGAAAATACGTCTGCTGCCCCATGCTGGCCGAGCATTCGTGAGATGAATAACATTTTTATACTTGAATATTATTTACTGTCTGTTGCCAAGATTATGGTTTATCCCCCCCCCCTGAACCTCAACACCCAACCCATAATCCTCGGCTTACGGTAGATTATAAAACAATTTGAGAATAAAAAAAAATGGTTAACATTGTCACTGCATAAAGTATTAAATAAAAAATAAAGTTTTATCAATTCATAAAATAAATGGATGACAATTTTATCAGGAAATTTTCAGTGAATTAAGTGCATCCTCAACCATTTAAATTCTCAACGGGTCCTCCTCTCCGGTCCTAATCTCTGATGCCCCATGTTACCAAATTCAGATTTGATCAGATCTAGTCTTATACAATCTCAATTTTAAGACTAGACTAGGAAGCAACATCTTCACACATCCTTCCTTATTCTTCATTCTAGATTAGTTTTCATCACGCCATCTTGCGTCTGTAAATTCGCCATCTTGTGTCTGTATAGTCGCCATCTTGCGTCTGTAAAGTCGCCTTCTTGTGTCTGTATAGTCGCCATCTTATGTCTGTATAGTTGTCATATTGCGTCTGTATAGTCGCCATCTTGGGTCTGTAAAGTTGCAGTCTTGCGTCCGTAAAAGTCGCCATCTTATGTCTGTATAGTCGCCATTTTGCGTCTGTATAGTCGCCATCTTATGTCTGTATAGTCGCCATCTTATGTCTGTATAGTCGCCATCTTATGTCTGTATAGTTGTCATATTGCGTCTGTATAGTCGCCATCTTGGGTCTGTAAAGTTGCAGTTTTGCATCTGTAAAGCCGCCATCTTGTGTCTATATAGTCGCCAACTTGCGTCCATATAGTCGCCATCTTATGTCTTTAAAGTCGATATTTTGCGTCTGTTTAGTAGCCATCTTATGCCTGTATAGTCTTCCCATTGCGTCTGTAAAGTCGCCATCTTGTGTCTATATAGTTGCCATCTTGTGTCCGTACAGTCGCCATTTTATGTCTGTAAAGTCGCCATATTATGTCTGTATAGTCATCATATTGCGTCTTTATAGTCGCCATTCTTGCGTATTAAGTAGCAACCTCTCAATTGAAGTAGTCGCTCATATTGTCGCAACATAATTTGAGAGCCGCTATTGCGATAACGAGTTACGACTATATGCATATTTCTTGACATGATTCAAAATTTTAGCGATTTTTTCAAGTTCGACATCATCATCTTATGAAAGAAAGAAAAAGTATGTTAGGAAACGTTTTTATAATTTTTGAAATAAAATTTTAGTGATTTTGATTAAAAAAGAAACATGTTTTATATGTTTATTTAGAGTTTTCAAGAAATTATAATTTTCTATATCCATTACCTGAGCTGATTTCAGACTCTGAATCTGTTATTGAATAAACATATTCGCAAGGTTATGAGTATGTAAAAATGAATATTGCAATATAAATGAGTATCTCTAAGCATATGTCTATATGACGAACAGATTATCTGAATAAAATCATGCTCGTTCTCAGCAACATTCGGACTGACAAGGTTGAAAAGAAAATTTTGCAAAGGTCGTACAACGTCTAATCAATATTCGCATATGCGAACCTTTGAGTTCCTTGTTTGCAATTCCTGATGTATGAACCGAGCCTTGGGGTATAATACTCATAGATCTTTAACTATTATAAGTTCTGTACTGAATATATATAGCAGATAAGAAGTTACGAAGGATACTCGTGCTCTAGACCCCACATAGAGAAGCTGGTTCTAGATATTTAGAGTATGAGATGAATTCAGGAGTTCAATTGCAAATTTACTATTTACTATGGTATTTCTCATATTATTCAATACTATTCACAATACCAATTGTGAAACTTTTTTCTGAGAAATATTTAGTTAAGATCGTTAAGGATCGTTTTGTTATGGAAAGAGTTCTGCTGAAAATTAATAAAATGCCAAAAAAAGTTACGTAGATAATCCCATTAAGAACGCAATAAGCTTGTCGGGTACTTTTGATAATCAGGTTTATTATCTCGTAATAAAACTGTTAAAGGGACTGTAAGCGTAATTTAGAGTGACCCTCCATCCATGCAAAGATTACAACGGTACCATAGTCTCATAAAGTATAAATTATATATGCATGTTAATGTTTATTTTCATTTGTGGTTTCTCTGCAAAAGTGACTTGCGCATTTATTGCGTATAATAACCATTGGAAAATTTCACAGAAATAAACACTTCCATATTTTTGATCAAATCGGACATTGCTATCTTTGAATGGAGGGTTACTTGAAATTATTCTTACAGTCCTTTTAAACACAGCGCCGTCTATTCGAAGAATATATAAATTATGAAGTTCTAGTATAATCTAAAACCGGTTTCTTTATCATTTATGCACGGTAAACTAGTGCAAACTCACATAGAACACTTTTTAACTGAACAGTTTAGTGAAGGTAACTTTTGAAAATTACAACCTCTGAGAGTACATCTATTTATCTATGTTTCTATCTATGTATCCATGTATCTTTATTTTTATATATGTATCTATGTACTTATCTATGTATCTATTCATCTATGTATGTATGTCTTTATGTATCTATGTATCTATTTATCTATGTGTCTATAGTTTTATTATTCTATGTATCTATGTGTATATGCATGTATTTATACATGTATAGCTATGTATCTATGTCTTAATGTATCCATGTATCTATGTATCTATGTATCTATGTATCTATGTATTAATGTATTAATGTATCTATGTATCTATGTATCTATGTATCTATGAATGTATGAATCTATGTATCTATCTATAAATGTATCTATGTTTATAGGATGATGATGAAGAGGAGGTGGTGAGGAGTCCAACTAGTCTAGCAAGAGAGGAGGAGAGGAGGAAGATCCTGCAGCTGGAGGAGCAGAGGAGAAGAAAGGAAACCAGTATCTCCAGATCAGGGAGCAGAGTCACTAAGTTTATAGGTTAGTATACATTTTCTTTATATTTATAGATACATGTCTTTAAACCGGGACCAGTCTCTTTATTTTAATTTTTTCTAGTGTTTGAGAATGGTTCCCTTTTTGCTTCTAAATTGCTTGTAAATTTCTTGGATTTTCGCAAACATTTTTACATTTTTTGTCTGTACATATATAATTTATAAATATTTGGTATTTTTTAAGTATATATTTATCTACCATGCATCTACAATTGTAGATTTATCATCACAAGTGTTTATATATCTATCTATATATGATATGATCTATTTATCAGCTATATCGTTTTATGTCTATCTATATCTACCCATTGTATTCCTACACCATTACTAAACTATCCATCAATCAATCATATATTTATTATATTTACTTCCTTTATTCAACCTTTAAGCTTATTCTGACTGCCTTTCACGTGACCTACAGGGTAACCCATAGAGCAGGAGAATTCAGAGGCGACATTTTGTCCAACTTAAAGCTTCATTACTGAGTCTTCTCTTTGTATAAAATCTTCTTGAAGGATAAAAAGAGAAAACAGATTAATATAATGTTTTCACTGTAGTCTCTCGCTTTTTGAATTACCCTGTCAACATTACTAAACATATCACATTGCACAAAGGAATTGAGTCTTTGCCACAATTAAACCGAAAGTGTCTAATCCCAATAGCTTTACAACGTAGAGGTTAAAAACCTTTGGTATTTCAAAATCAGGTAATTAGAGCCAAAGACTTATAATGTAAAGATAGGTATTTCAGAGATGTACGCATCTTTTGTACTGCAGTGTACTGTAAAGTAAACACAAGACGGATGTCACGTACAGCCTGACATGGGATCAATCTTTCACATACAAAATACAATGAAATATTCTGGTCATAGGACTCTATTATGTGAATTATCAAAATTAAATGCTTTATCCATCCTCCTCGGATACTAGAGGGACACTGATGCATCTATTCTTGTTTACAAACACTGCCCAGAGAGAACTGGTTTCAATATGTACGTAGAGAATACGCAACAACAAACAACTTTCCTTGCCTTATTACCTTGATTAGAGCCAACGGTTTAAAACATTGGGTGGCAAAGATATAGGGATTATATAATCAGAGTTTGCGTCAAATGTCTCAAATCCTTTGTAGAAAGAAACTTATTCAGCTCAAAAAACTAATTTGAGTTTATTTTCAGGACTGAAACCTAAAGTAAAGGTAACTGACACTGAGAATGAAAGCCAGTATTCCGGTCATTCTAGTTCCAGTATGAGAAAGGAACCAATCCTCAAGTCTCGTCTCAACAACGGTGCACGTGTCAAGCGTACTGGAAGCACAGCGACCTCTGTAAGTCGCGCTGCTTCTAATTCCCGCCGCAAGATGCCGGGTAGCGTAACGAGCAGTATAAACAGCAGTGAGAGCGAGCTTGGTAGCGGGCAGCAGTCAGCAGCTAGCAGAGGAACTAATGCATCAGCAGGTAGCAACAAGTCAGTATATCTCCATGCTACTGCAGTAGCAGATATACCTACCTCTAGTAGCAAACAGGCTCCAGAGGTTCAGTCCAATCTCAAGAACTCTAAGAAGATTTCCCGATCTATCTCTCTCCTCACACCCTTCAAGCAGAAGCAGGTTAAGGAGAAGGAGATGAACTATGATAGCTCCGGAAACCAGGTTTCGCACTCCGGGAAACCTCCACGCCCACCTCCGGCTCGGAGGGTTCATCCGGTTCTTAGCAAGGATAAGAAATTTGCCTCTTCCTCCGATCTCCTCCGAGATGAACCGGAGATAATCGTTTCTCCGGTGGAGGAGCAAAAATCGCTCAAGGTGTCACGCTCCGTTTCCATGCCCAAGGACACTAGACTTGCAGGATGGTTTAAAAAGCGGAAAAGAGTGTGAACAGGACAAGGATACAACAGTCACCATTTTCCTAATTCCTAGATCTGCATCTCTCAAGCTCATTCAATACAATATTCGATACTTGTCATCAACAAGGATGAACCTGTATCCGCTACAACAAGGTTGAACCTGTATCCGCTACAACAAGGTTGAACCTGTATCCGCTACAACAACATGTATAAAGTATTTCATTAAATTGTTATTTCCTTAGAGGATGCAAAAAATGCGCAAATTTTTGTGGATTCAGAAAAATGCGGGAAATGCTTGACAATTTCCCGGATTTGTGTTTTGTGACAATATAAATAATCATTCTGGTCTCACTGCAATACATGATGAAATGAAGAGATTTAACTGAATTGCGAGAATTTTCCCTGAGAAGTGAGCATTACAGAATTCCATACTAAATTCGAATATTAATATACTTTTTCTTAATATTAATATATAACATAATTGTGATCGATACAATCAAATAAATGAATAATATATTTTAATGAATATGAAGATGTTTAATTTCGTTTAAAGGGGCTGTAAGTGTAATTTCAAGTCATGGCCTTGTAATGCATGCAAAAACGTCAATGTCCGATTCACAATGGTACACTTGAACCCTTTATCTGTTGATTATTAAGGGAGATATTGTCGTTTTTCTAGTTTTTTCCCATATGTTATCCTGCAGTAGAAATACGCCAGTCACTTTTGTAGAGAATAATAAGTTTTCAAAGTTATAGCAAGCAAAGATAAAAATGCAGTGCACGGAGAAAAAAGGGCAGAGGCTTGGAAATGTAGCGGAAGGAACGGAGATGGTTTTGCGAGGCTTAGAGGTCCTTCTGCGTATCAATAGGCTCTGGAGGTCATTTCGTGGGGCTCCTGGCAGCTCAGCTTCCCCTTCCTTATCCGACCTAAGCTACGCGCTAAATGCTGAACTTGAAGGGCAGATGCACACTTTTTTGTCGTAAATTTATATCAACTTCATCTTATAAGGGGTACCGTTGCAAATCGGACTTTGTTATCTTTGAATGGAGGGTCACATGAAATAACGCTTACAATCCCTTCAATTGTAGGTTTCGATTTTCAATCTAAAAATGTCCGAATTAAATTAATAATTAATTATTTCAATGAAAACAAAAATTAAACAATTTGGAAGCATTTTCAATCGAGAGACATATTTAAGAAAGAAAATAGGTCTTTGACATCACAAACTCAAATATTCTAATTCCTATATCTTTGCAATTCCTGATATTTCCAACTTAGATTATTTAATCTAACTTGAAGGTCGTCTTTGATTTAATTTGCGGCATTTATTCATAAAGCTTATTTTATAGGTAAAATCCTGGCATTTCTAAAATTTCCCATGAAACATGACAGTTGTTGAATAGTTTAGAATGTCTTCTTCCATAATTTGTTAACTTGTTTGATATCAATTAGATAATAATACAAATATTATATGGGAGTTATGTACAGTAAAATTGGTTTCAAAGTAAAATATGTTTCAAAAAAAGATATTTTTAACAAAATAAACTGCAAAAATCCTTTAATATTTAATAAAGTATATGAAAGACGACTTTCATAACATTTTACAAATTGTCATGTTTCGTGGGAAGAATCTTGTTCAGATTTTGACAATTATTTAATAAATAGAAATCTGAACGAAATTCTTAATGTCTCTGGTAATATTGACAGCCATAACTTGGAGAATTTTGTTATTTTTGTTTTAAGAATCATGCATGTATAAGTAGGTTAACGAATTAATGCTGCAAATAATTTCAAATATCAAAGACGACCTTCCAGTCATCTTGCTGCTGTGTCATGTACAGGGTTACCCACAAAGAATGAGATTTCAGAGACGACTGTACGGAATTTATACTGTCTGTTTCCTTATATTCACGATTCTCTGCAAATGTTAACATGTGTCTTTCTTTGCCAAATCCAGGGGACATTAGTTCCAAAATTAGCACTTGGCCCATTTCTAACAACACTAAGTGTTAGAAATGGGGATAAATTGAAAGACTGGGTTTTTGGGATCCCGGCCCATATCTAGAGTAAAAGTCGATAATAAAGACTATAACCAACATTTTATTAAACATGACGAGGACAACAATTCAGAATTTTAAACTTTTTTTTTTAAATAAAAATTATAATAGGAGTTCTTTTTATAGTAAATCTCTTGACCATTTTCAAGACAATGTTAGGCTTTCCATTTTCGAACATATCCTGAATTTGAAACATTGTCGCGTTTTTGAGACAAAACCCACTTTTATCGTTTTTGAGTATAATCCTCAATTAAAAACAAAACTCACTTTCATAACTTACAAAATAAATCACTGAAAACAAAAATTATTTTATGAAAACTAAATTAACTTCTGAATTATTTCTAGAATCTAAGTTTCCACATTTTATCTGTTAAATTAGAGAATATGGATGATTTATTTTCAAGCATTTTAAACAAATGATATTAATTTTGATTGATTTAGATTTCTCAATGCTGTAATGATTTTTAAATTATAAAAGAACAGTTTGTTTTTATCTTCTATTTTTTCTATTTTACCTTATTGAAAAATCTTGTTTTGTTTCATAAGTGCGTAAATACTTGATAATTGACATTGATATGAATTCCGGTAATTTTCTCAGAACCAGGATATGTTCCGAAAACGCGACATGAGCTGAAATCCGGTAATTGTTTCAAAATAGGGATATTTTCGAAAATGAAATCAAGAATCATCAAAAAGTAATTCTCACACCTTATTATTAGTTTAAAATTGACATATATTGTTTCAATATACAGTTTTAGCCATTTTTGATAAAGATATGATGTAATTTTGTTCTACTCGTCTTGGATTTAAAGATATATACTCTTGAAAAAGATAACTTTGCAGATTTGGAACTAATATCCCCTGAAATCATAAAATTATCCATTAAACGACTATATTTAAGGCAGAAGATTTAATCTAAAGTTAGGATCGTCATATTATATGATTTTCATGTCGTCTTTATAGTCTCATTCTTTGTAACCCTGTAACACCTACATAAAAAGTAGAAATGACTGTAATTGCAAAACAATAATGAAAATGATTTGTAATATTTATTTCTAAAGTCAGACTTAATAAAACTCTCTGCTTATTTAAAGATTTAATCTAGACTTCTAGACTTTTAAAATTTTTACAAATTCTAGAATTTGACAACACCTCTTTTAATTTTTCATAAAAGTTTACTTAAACTAGGCTTTTATAGGAGGCTTCCCTTTTCTCTATCGTGTAATGATGTCTGTTTTTATCTATAAATTTCAAACAAAATCTCCAAATAATTTATGTGAAGCCATTTCAAAAAGTCACGATGTTCAGTTGTTTAATATAAATATACAAACAGAGCTGAAAACTTTAGAATTGGATACTCTAAATCCCGATCCCTTAATCTGAATATCTATAGTGGAAACTTATAATTATCTTAATCCTCTCTTTTTGTACACTCTGCAGGTTGGTAAAATTCTTTACCAACCAGTGGATAAAGATTAGTGGATAAAGATTATAATAATCTGAGGATTAACAAAAACAGGAGATCAAGCATCAATCTCAATATCCACGATTCAAAAGTTTCCAGCTCAGTACAGACAAATATGGGTTAGGGAATCCGGCCCTCGCTTGCAAATATGCATTAGAAAAGTTGCAGATCAAATTTTTTGATAATTCTCAGTCTGACAAAGTGCAGCTGCACATAATACATTTTTGTTTATTCTTATCAATGAACTTTTAATTGTTGTTCTGTCTCCTACTGTTCTTATCACACCCCCCCCCCTTATCCCCTGCTACCAACACAGTTTCTTATTTTGCACGTGCAAATATGTTTATGCGTGCAAAATAGATAAACTGAACTGCAGAATGATTCAATAAACATGGGAGCATGAAATTTAGAAATAACCTGAAGAAATTGTCAGCCTAGGAAACCATCTTTTATCATCGAAGCTATTGGAGAGCCTATTTCTGCTATTATGGAAACCCAAAGAGCATGGTTCTACTCCTAATAATTTCTGTCAAAAGAAGATTTCTCACCAAAACCATTCTTACTGTAACATGTGTTTTAATAGGGTTTATTATTGTACATATAGGATGAATTTTTCAAGATATCTTAAGTTAATTTCCTGATAATTTCTTTTTATATTAAAAATGTACAGTATACACAAATGTTCAATGCTCTATTTTGTGCACTTTTTAATGAAAGTGGAATCCTTGTGCAAATTTAAAATTGGAATTTCAAACTGAACAAATAATTATAAGTTGGCGGTAAATGTTTTTTGAAAGTTACTGTACCTCCCCATTAGATAGACCTGTAATAGTAAATAAGTTAGAAGTATCTGATATTAGATACATACAGGGTGTCCCACGAAACATGACATTTAATAAACAGTTATTTTTAGTTAAACAAATCTTTTGCTTGATTATGTTTTACTTTGAAATCAATTTTAATATAACATGACTCCCATTTAATATATTTATTGCTCTTTGGTATCAAACAACTGAGCATAATAATGGAAAAAGACATTCTAAACTATTCACCAACTGTCATGTTTCGTGGGACACCCTGTATCTAAATGGAAATAAAAGGGTACAAATATAAACTGTAATATCAAGATGGACTGATTGCATTTAGATATCACAGAATCCATATTGCAAGGGTTTACTTGAAGTAAGTGTCGCTAACAGCTGTGAATAAGTATAAAATAACTTTGGAGGATTACAGATGATCAGTAGTAAAATAGGGTTTCTAAACTAATATTGTCATTTCCTTTTCTTGAAGACGACATTTAGAATTATGATAAATATAGTGCTCCTCGGTTTGGTGGGGGTTAAAGGTACTTTTTCAAAGCTTGGAGTTTGGCGCTTCTTTATTTAAAAAATGATTTAAAGCAAACATACCACACAGGGATCCTAAGGTTGCAAGCTCTTATACCGATGAGACTTTTGCCAAATATTTGTTAAAAAACTAAAGCTAAAAAAAGTGCTTTATAGTTCTAAAATGTCTAGAAATCTTTAAAAATTAAGTTAATCCAGACTTGAAAATTGTTGTATCTTTTTAAAGGTGTCTGGATTTTGGTGAAGCTTTTATTTGCCGCTAATCTGCAGACTATTTCCCTCTCCATGTCAAATGATCTAATTTATGTTCCCCCCTTTTTTTAAAAGATGTGACAAAAATGACAACTTTTTGTTGCTGACACAGTGATAACCAGAAAATAATGTAATAGGAAGACGACATTATTACAATACTTAAGTGAATATTTGTTCGTTAGAAAGCAAATAGTTTTATTAGACACCTTATTTCACTAATTAGTGAAACTGGTCTGTTTACACTGCATGCAGAATTGGAGTATCTCATGATCATTGGACTTTTTAAAGTCATAACTTGATTCTGAAAGTCGTCTTCCTAGTCCAGAGTTTTCTGGTTGTTACCGTAGTAAAGTTTTTTAATGTTCATGAAAACCTGTCGTCAAAATTATAAGAATGTTTTTGAAGCCACTGTAAAAAAAATTTACTCCGAGATTTACAGTGTACACTGTTCAATGATAACATGTATTGAAATGATCACAAGACATCTTTGTTAATTTAATTAATTAAATAGAAACGTTGCTAAAAATTTTGTAAAATGTAGCCATTGTAAGTGTAGAATAAGCCTAAACATGTAAAGAAAAATATCAATCATAACAGTTACAAAGACGTCCTTAATTCCCCTAACTAACCAAAAAATGTAAGATTCAACATACCTTTTTTACAATCCTTTCAACTTAACTTTCAGTTCGATCTCTACTCTCCTCTTACTAAAGTTTAGTTTAGGGAAAAGTGTGTTGTTAGAGTGTGGTTAAATCATCGGGTATATTGCATATTCAAACAAAAGATGAAAGTCATAAGATACATAAGCATATTTTTACACTGGAACCAAAATCACTGCAAGTAAACATTTTAACCACAGGCCGTAAGTCCTTTAGTATAGTCATTTCAGTACTTAATTCGGTTGGTTGTTTGGATATCCCTGAAACTTTCATTTGATTTGATTTGATTTGACTTTAAGTTGATTTTGTACAGTTAAATCCTAAATAAGCCATACATCGAAAGAATTCATCTAATGTCATTGTCGTATTCTTCACTTTTTGATAATGGAATGTTGCAGATATTTATTTTTTAATTAAATTATTATATGGACCTCTTTAAAACTGTTCCCGCATATTCATGGCTACTTATTTATTTTTGTAAATACTAAGATTTACGCAAAATAGTATAAAACCCATTGAAAAATTGTGAAGACGACATTTGATAAATTCTTTCAATATATGGCTCATTTAGGGTTTAACTGTAAGTGCTCAGGTTTAGTGTTATAACAGTCACAAATTCAATTCATTGGCATTGTTTTTAGATCAACACACTTACATTGCCCTTTTCACATGGATTACTGTGACTAAAGATATTAGGAAAGAGACTGGGAATATTTAACTTTTCTTATCTAGAAAGTGATTGCCAGGAAATCATATTACTCCCTGCTCTTTCATAATTTTTAATTTCTATTTTCTTAGGACTACCTGCAGTACTAGCAGTTGCGCCATATATGATTGAGGATCAGCTGACAAGCAATCAGCCGATCAGTGAACAGCTAATGATGGAGGACATGGATTCACACCTGCTCATGCTATCTGGACAAGTGTACACTGAACCCCCATGCAATGGTCAAGAGATCATCAAACTATTGGAACGGTTGCTAAAGGATGTGCTCTTGGACATTTCAGTTTTGGGCATGAGATTGGTCATGGATTTGGGCTGGCTCATGACAGAAGGGTTGCAGCTACCAGCAGTAACAATTATGCATATGGATACGTTATAGCTGTAAGTATAACTGCAATACAACCTTTTTAAACAAGGAAAGAAAACATGCAAAGCAATGCAAATTCTTTAATATATTATAAAAGATAATTAATTATGTTTTTTTTTTAGCCTAGACTTTACAGAAGTATTATGGCGTACAGTACTGCTGGTGAAAAGAGAGTCAACTACTACTCTAGTCCATTAATAAAATACCAGGGTTATGCAACAGGAACTTCAACTGCAGATAATGCCAGAACCTTAGTGGAGAACAGATTTGCAGTTGCAGCCATTGGAGACGAGTCCATGTCATGTTCAGGCACTTCAGCATCAGTAACCTCACCCCCAACATCAGTTACTTTGCCCCCAACATCAGTAACCTCGCCCCAAACAACAACAGTTAGCTCAAGCTGTGTTGACAAATTTTCTAACTGCAAGGAACAAATTTAATAATTTCTGGAATATTATCAGCTTACTTTTAGAATATTAGCTTATGATTATCTGAATTTAAAAAATTTTCTTTAGAAAAAATTAGTAATTTGTTAGGACTATATCAACCAGTGCTGGCACCCTGATGTTTCCTCAGGTAAAAATTCTTAATAATCCATAGTTAACATAAATGTTGTTTTCAGTTGAAAGATGAGACACTAACCTTACTAACAAAGTGTTTATCTAGGATGCCAGTTGACTTGTAGATTGTGTCCTGGAATGACTCCTGTGAGTTCAACTGTCTGTTTTGACAGATACAGTAACTGTGTTTCCCTTGCTAGGGCTGGATTCTGTTACAGCCAAAGAGTTTATGAATCTTGTTCGTCTGCCTGTGGACTATGCTAAGAATCTTCACCTTTCTTTAAAACTGTATAAAAATTGTTTTCTTTCTAAGCTATGCACTTGATAAGTTCAATAATTATTTTTTTTATTTTGTGTTATCGAACTTTAAGAATGAGAAGGATATTTATTATGTATTTGTTTGAATAAAAGCTGATAATCACAATTCAATTCAGATTACTGTAGTATTTAAATTTGCTGTTGATTAATTTAGTTTTCTTCTATTTTTTGTGTCTCTGTTTATGGTTTGTTTTTCAAACAATGAGCCAGGAACTTCATCGGGAATATGTTTCATGTCTGTAGGGATTGGGTTAATATCTTTTTCTAAGTTTTTCAAACGATTGTTAATTATTTGATTCAGAGATTTTGGTTCAAAAGTGGATTCTTCAGAATCTTTTGATTTCATCCTAGAAGTAGGCCTTGAATTCCTAAGCCTATCTTCTATTAGAGAAGTCTTAACATAAGAATATAGATCACTTTTTGGAAGGTCTTCATCTTCCATGGCATTTGAAGAAGCTTCATCTTGGACAGCATTTGCTAATAATGGAGCTTCATCTTGTATAGTATCTTCAGTTAATGGGCCCTCATATTTCTTGGTAATTTTTGTTAAGAGGTCTTCATTTTCCAAAGTATTTAGTGTCAATAAGCTCTCATTTTCTTTATTATTTTGTTCAAATGGGCTGTCTTTTACCTTGGTATTTTTTGGTTATGAGCCCTCATTTTCCCTAATATTTTGGGTTAATAGACTGACTTCATTTTGCTCTATTGAATCTGGATTTTCTTTGTCTAATATTGAAACAACAGGTTTGAATTTAAGACCTGATATCTGTTTGTCAGTTTGTCCAGATTCAGGATTGACCAAAACTGAAGGGTCTATTGGTGTTTCAGGGATTTTGAAGTCCAGATTTTTTTCTCTAGCCTGTATCTTATGGCCGTGGTCAAAGGTTTTGAATGAATATACCCTCTCAGATTTCTTTAATATGGGGTCAAAATTAACTTCCTCCGCAGCAAGGATGTAGGCAAGGAAAGTTTTTCAGAAGTATACACTTCTTTTGTACTGCAGTGTACTGTCTCTGGGCGGTAATGTAAACGCAAGACGGATGTCAATGCCTGACATTGTAGTATAAACTACCAAGAGGTTATTATACAAAAAGACGAGTTAGATCTGCCAAACTAATCAGTGCATTTGGTTTGGCTATGTGATGATAATTAAATG